ATACAAAGCATGCACAGACAACAAATCTGCCTGTAACAGCAGCAGTGAGCTATGAAGATGCTGTAGTGACTAATTCTCAACTGGAGACAGACTGAGAGGGGAGAGACACAGAAGGGTTTAGGTGATCCTCAAAGGAAAGGTTTCCTTGGAAGGGGCAGGGACAGGGAAATGTGTAATAAATGTGTGCTTAAACGCCTAATGACTCTGGAATATCTGTCCAAATGGCAGAGACCTCTGTGAATTATTAGGAAATTAATTTTAAAAATTTCTTAGGTTTTAATTACTAATGGGAGGCCTCTTGTGACACATGACACACTAACTTCTCTGCACGATGCCACTTCTGTGTTTTCTAGGATTTTAAATAGACCTATTATAGGATGAATTTGTAAGTGTTATAGAGGTGGCTCGGCAGTTTAGAGTGTGTATTATTCTTGCAGAGGACCTGAGTTCAGTTTCTAAAACTCATGTTAGACGGCTCACAACTCCCTATAATTCCAGCTCCGGGGACTCTGATGCCTCTAGCCTCCATGGGTACCTGCACTCAAGTGTACATACCCACCCACAGACACACACACATAAATAAAAAATCAAATGAAACTTTCTTTGTAAAAGGAATTTATAACCTTGTTTGACAGAGACTCCCTGTAGCCCAGGTTAGCTTCAAACATATTCATCCTGTTTTATCCTCCCAAGTTCTAGGATTACTGACATTTGACACCACACCTAGCCCTAAATTATTCATTTTGACACAGGGTCTCACTTTAGTCCAGGCTGGACACAAATTCTCAATAGTCGTGCTTCTGCTTCTTAAGTGCTAAAATTAGGGATTCACTAACATGACTGGCTAAATTTATTTTTTATTGATATATAGAATTGTACTTTTTTTTTTTTTTTTTTTGAGATAGAGACTCCCTGTACCCACAGCTGGCCTGAAACTTGCTATTTAGACTAGGCTGCCCTTGATATCACAGAGATCCACCTACCTCTGTGTTCAGAGTGCTGGGATTAAAGGTTTGTGAGACCACACCTGGCAGAATTGTACAATAATTTTTAAAAATTTTTATGTCATGTATGTGAGTGTTTGACTGCATGTATGTAAGTGTAATTGTGCAATTCCCACAGAGGCCAGAAGAGAGTGGTGACTGATCCCCTAGAATAGATTGTTAGCTGCCATGTGGGTGCTGGGAACTGACCCAGGTCCTCTTTAAGAGCAGTCAGTGCTCTTAAATGCTGGGCCATCTCTCCAGCTCCTGAGAATTGTACATTTTTATGAAGCACAATGTGATGTTTTATTTCTTATGCTGTGATTCTGTTTCTGTTTATTTTGAAATTATATTCATTTGTTTGTTTGTGTGTATGTGTGAATGGTTGGGTTTGTGCCTGTGGAGGTCAGAGAACAACTTGGAAGAGTTGGTTCTTTCCTTTCACCATGTGGATTCCTAGGATTGAAATCAGGTTGTCAGGCTTGTTGGCAAGCACCTTTACCCAATGAGTTATTTTGTGGTCCTGTTTTACTTTTGAAACAGCCCTTACCATGTAGCCCAGGCTGTCCTTGAACTACTGACCTTCCTAATTGTCTACTAATTGTCCTAATCTGTCTCCTAATTGCTGGGATGGGGGTGAGCCACCATGCCCAGCGTGATATTTTAATTTAGACACACTTTGGATTATAAACACCTTTGTTTTTCCATGGTGCATGGAATTGAATCCAAGGTCTTGTGCACCCAAATACATGTGATATCACTGAGCTACAGCTTCAGCCCCATAACAACCTTTAAATTAACATAAATGGGACTGGAACATAGCTCAACTGGTAAAGCTAGATTTCCACAATTCACGTAAAAAAACAAACAAACAAAAAAAGCAGGCATGGTGACAAGTGCTTGTAATACCAGCACCAAGGAGTTAGAGACAGGCAGATCCCTGGAGCTTGTCACCCTAACCCATGTCATGAGTTTCAGGTCAGTGAGCAATCCTGTCTCAAAATGAAAAAAATAAAAGTTTGATGGCACCAAGGAATGACACCTCAGGTTGTCCTCTGGCCTCCACAAACACATGCATGCATGTGTATGCATACCCATAAATGTATGTACACCTGTATGCACATAAACATGTACCTGCACAAGTTAACATAAATCAATTTTAGATTCTATACTGTGATTTCATATTAATTAAATATCTAAGTATGTTCCCAAAACAACAAAATTTATCATCACGATCAAAATTAAAGTCCTCATGATGCAGCCAACAAGAGACACTGGGGATGGATGTGCAGTTCAGTGGTAAAGCACTTGCCTGGCAGGCATGAGGCTCTGGGTTCCATCCCAGCACCAGAAAATGGGAGGCATAACCACAAGTTTGGCAAATATTTTTAAGCCTGAAAATTCTCAGTATTCTAAGAACACAGAGCACCTGGCACTGTCAGTGGGAGTATAAATTATACAACCACAAAGGAAAACAACCTGTCACTGTCTACTAGGGTTTAACATGTTACAACCCTATGATACTGCAATCCCACTCTTAAATCTATAATAGAATCTTGGACACTTCACAATGAGAGAAATAGGGGGAAATCTGTGGTCAAAGTAACTCTTTAAAATAGTAGTAATTTCATTATTTCACTAACTGTAAGCAGAAGATCTAAATCAACTGCAGACTACATAAAAAGGACAGACTACAGAGTCATGAAAGTAAACGAGCTAAGTCACATTTGAGACGAAGTCATGGAAAAAAGATTTCACTTATACAAACTTAGAAATCAGGTAAAACTAAAGGATGTATTATTTAGGAATACTTACAGTAACATTATGAAGAAACCAAGCACTAGGTGAGGTGGCTCACTCCATTACTTAAAGGGTTGAAAAAGGAGGATTTCCAAAAGTTCAAGGGTAGTCTGATTTAGAATGGATTTCAAACCCACTGTGCTACAGAGTGAGACCTTATCTAAAAAACAAACAAAAAAAACCTCAAAACAAAAACAAAAACCCCACAAACAAAAAAAGTGGAACACCACATATGGTAGTTCATGCCTGTAATCCAAGAAGATTGATCAGTTGCCCCAGGCTAGACTGGGCTACACCAGACTTTGTCCAAACACAAAAAGAAACCCATGTATTAGAACAGTCTAGGACACCCACATTATCAAACACTGACAAGGATGGGAGCAGCAAGAACTTTCATTCGATGCTGGTGGGAAGACAAAATGGTACAGCTCCTCGGGAAGACGGTTTGGCAATTTCTTTAAAAAAAATTGGGCTCCTTCGTATTTAAAGGAATTGGAAACTTACAGCCACATGAAAACCTGTACATCATTTATAGCAGCTTTATTCATAATCAAACTTCATTCATTCCACAGCTTGGAATGAATGAGCTGTGGTACACCTAGACAATGGGATATTCTTCTATAACTATGTCCCAGAAGCCAGTCTCTGGCTGAAGAGACCACTAAGGAGTTAAGAGCACATACTGCTCTGGTAGAGGGCTGGAATTCAGTTCCTAGCACCCATGTCAGGTAACTCACAATTGCCTGTAACTCCAGCTCCAGAGGATCAGAGGCCTCTGGCTTACTCAGACAAAAGAGTACACATTCACTGGGTGGGACTAAAGGTGACTAAGGGTGGGACTAAAGGACTAAAGGTGTGACTAAAGGACAGGAGGCAGTGGCAGGAAGATCACTTTAAGTCTGAGATCAGTCTTGTCTACATAGAGTTCCAGGCCACCTAGGGCTATATAATGAGATCCTCAACTGGAGAAAAAGAAAAAAAAGACTATACAACATCTATGATTACAACTATATGACATTCTGGAAAAGGCAAAACAATGGTGACAATAAAAGGATCAATGGGGTTAGGGGCTGGGACAGAGAGAGATGAACAGGCAGGGCAGGGAAAGCTTACCACAGTGAGTTAGTTGCACTATAGTACAGAGTTGGCTTTATGTCATTTTATATATTTCCAAACTTGGCATCGAGAATGAATTTAATGTAAACTATGAACTCTGGGTGCCAATCTGGGCTCATCAATTGTGGCATAAAGCACTCTTGTTGGGGGGATGTTGATAAGGCAGAGTTGATAATGCATGCATGAGCATGGGTGAGGGGAGAATACATGGGAAATCTCCCCCATTTTCCTCTCAATTGTGTGAACTTAAAACTGCCATAAGAAAATTAAAAGTTTCTAGCTTAAAAGCACACAGAAATATTTTTAGTTGACAAAACCTTCCACTTGTTAAGTTCCTGGTTGGCTGGTCTCTAAACTTTGTCCATTCTGCATCAGTCATGAAAATGCACAGCGTACTATGCGCAGGATCACCTTTTTTCCAAGGGAAAAAAACACACACAAAAACCTCCAGCAAAATGCTGGGTTAGGCCAGGCACACAGAGGGTCTCGACTCTGGGCTGGGAGGTCTAACTCCAGCACTACATACAAGGCGCTTCCAACATGCTTCAGTTCAACATGGTCTGCACATGTGTGAAAACACCAGAATGCAAGCACTTCGGAACATGCAATGGTACGTTCCTCCAGCAGGGACAGCACTGACCACCAAGGGGGCTTCCAAAGTGCATTTTGTCTGCCCTGGGAAACGCGGCCAGGAGCCCAGATACAGACACTGCGGCCCCTTCGGCTCTCGTTCCTGCCCCGGCTGCTCTGCCCAGGACCAGGCCAGTTCCCACAGCGCAGACTCCTCCCAACTCCTGCAGTCCCGCCGCTCCTCCAACCCGCGGTCCCCGCTCCCACGGCCGCAGGAAGCCGCGTTCAGAGCACCGACATCCGCGCTGAAACTCGGATCCTCTTCGGGTCCTGGGGACACCACGGTCACCCAGCGGCCCTCCCCGCCCAGCCCAGGCCGGGTCCCCAGCGACCGCACGCTGCGTCCAGGGTGCGAGTGCACTCACGGCCCACCATCCCCCGGCCACGGGGCGGAGCACAGCGCCCCACCAGGGAGCCCGGCGTGGCCCGCTAGGCCCCGACTCAGCCCTGGCGTCGGCCGCCGCTGCTCACCATGTCGACCCCTGACCCCTCTCGCCCAGCGCCCGCGGTCTCCTCGCTGACCGAAGCTTCCACCACAGCGCCGGGGCCGCCCAGCGGCTCCAGGGGCGCAGGCTGCAGCGACCTCTGGGAGCTCGGATCGGCCTGTTCCATAGCTGCAGTTCTGCGCGGAGAAGCCACTGCGCCTGCGCCACCGTCCAGCCAGCGGACGCCCCGCCCCTCTCTCGCGAAAGCCCTCCCCGAGCCCGCGGGCGCCCCACTCGGCGCCCTGAGCTGCCCTCCTCTTAGCCCTGCCAGGGCTGCCTAGACCCTAGGGGCCTACAAGAGGAAAGGTAGTTGGAGGGGTGGGGAGGTGGGGGAAAGCTGGGGGCGGGGTGGAACTGCTATAGGGGCTCTAGTCAGCTACTAGGAGACCTAAAAATCTGGGAGAACCAGTGGCGATGGAGAGAAGCAAGGGGAAGGTGAACTCAAATGGTCAAGGAGACCATTCAGGTTGGTGGTCACCCAGAGTAAACATGTCACTCCAAAGAACCAAGGGTGGCCTCTTGACCTCCCTCTGGCCTCTGCCTTGTCTTCCATTCACAATTCGGTTTCCCACTGAAAGATCAGAGCAGCATAAATTATTAACTTTTAGCACTTTGAGCACATTCAGCAAAAGGTAATGCTTGAAGGTTAAGGGAGTTGAACCTGTTTCTCCATAAGCAATCATCGTGGTAACCAGAAGGGACATGTACAGTGGCTGTGGAACTTTCAGGTACTTCTGAGGAGAAGCAGCTCTTAATTTTTCAAGAACCAAAACTCGTCTTTCTGCCCAAACAGCCTTTTCAAGCTGTGAAACGCATTCCTTTGGGATAAAAAAACATAAAAGTCAAGAGCCATGAAGCCTCTCAGGCAAGTCACGTCTCAGGCAGGTCACGTACCGGTCAAGAATTCCAACTTGCCGATAAGTAAGCTTCATGGCCGAGACCTTGCCGATAAGTGAGCTTCATGGCCGAGACATCTCCAACTCACTGATAAATAAGTTTTATGGTTGAAACATCTGGCTTAATGATAAATAAGCCCCCCCCGCTCTCCCTATAGCATTTTGTAATAGTTTAAGCTAGCCAATAACCACGCTTCTGCTTCTGTAACCTGCTTCTGCTCTATAAAAACCCCAAACCCGAGACCTGGGGGGCTTCTCCCTTTGTCAGGAGTTGTGCCCACAGGTACCTGTGTAAAATAAAAGCCTCTTGCTATTGCAACTCGAGGGCTCGACTTGTCCTTTGTGGTTTCAATTTTACACCATCTCTCCAGCCCCTCAAATATCCTTAAATTCAGCTTCATTCAGGTTCTCAGGAAATGGTCAGGATGAAGTCAAGTTCTTGGTAAAAATATCACATTTGTAAATTCTTCCACATTCCAGCCACAAATAGTTCCAAAGGCCCAAAAACCACATGGTTAGGTTCACCACAATATCCTACTTCTTGATATCAATTTTCTATCTTCATTTCTTTTCCTGCTGTTGTGAAAAATACCCTGACAAAACCAACTGAAGAGTTTGTTAGTTCATAGCTCAAAGTATGGTCCATAATGGCAGGGACATCAAGGCAGCAGGAGCTTGAAGCAGCTGGTAATGGCACATCCATAGTCAAGAGGCAGAGGGATGAATGAATGCCAGTGCTCAGCTTTCTTTCTCCATTTCATACAATCCAGATTCCCCAGCCTAGGGGTTTTCCCACATCAATTAACCCAATTAAGTTAGATCCTCATAGGCATGGCCAAAGGTTTGTTTCCCTGGTGATTCTAGAGTCTGTCAAGTTGACAATTAACCCTAAACCAGCACACCATCCTTAAGGGACTTTTAACTCCAAAAACTAAGAAATTTGTCAAAACAAGAACAAATACCCATGTGTATAATTAACTTCTCTGCCTTCTCACCTCCTCCCACTTTCTTCCTCATCAGCTCCAAAGTCAATTTTCCAGGATGAGTTTTGAGATGGGGGCGGGGGGGTGCACTTGTTTCCAAGCCCTATGACCAGTGTTTGATCCCTGGGGCCACATGTTGCAATGAGAAAACCAATTTCCACAGGTTGTCCTCTGACCTCCACATGAACACTGTGGCATGTGCACTCCACCCTCAAAATATATAAACACATTGTTTTCAAGAGAGAGTTAGAGGGAGGGGATTCATCTGAGACTCAGAAATCTAGATAAGAAAGCCGAAGGTCTGTGTGAACAAAAAAATATTTCTGAAAACATTTTAAAGAAAGATTAAACACAAATCAGTTGCTATTTCATTTTGAAGGATGAAAGAGATGTAATAATATCCAAGTTTTGGGTCTGGGATATTGGAAAAACATGGAAGGGCGCTGGAATGAGATGGAAAAATCAAGGGGCAAGATTTCTCTCTTGGTTCTATCTCACCTTGTAATTTCCTCCTCAAACACTTGCTGTCCTAGCACCTGGCTTTCAAGGCAGAAGAACTGAATTCTCTCTTAATTCTAACTTCAGTTAAGATTCTCCCTCCACCTATTTCCCAAAAGATTCTAAGTAGAGAGGATCCAGTAAGGTGTGTCTAATTATTATGTCTCATGGTTAAAAAAAATAATAAAAAAAGCCTAAGCAAATAATAAAGGTCTATATAGGTTTGTTATGATTTATCAATGATAGAACAAAGATAATATACAAACAATCTTGAGGGCATAACTCAGTCAATTAATTTAAGGATGTCTAGTAAAGATTTATTTAAGAATATTGCCCAAGCTTTATCTGCATATTGCATGGTAATTAAAAGTACCAGATTGGTGTAACTAAACTTCTTGGGTGTTTAATAGCTGTACTATCAGGGCTTTACTAATCTGGTCAGAGGTAATTAAAGGGACAGTTTTAGTTCCTTGCCCTCCTAGGTTGAATACATTCCAGGGGACTTTGGAGCATCTCTTGAAATGTCCTGTAACTGGTGAGTCACCTGTCCTCTGGCTCAGGGAGGCCACGGATACCCCGCCAGATGGACTTGTACCAGTGTCCAGTCTATAAAGAGGAGGGTTAATACAGAGGAAACTTTTTCTCCATGTTTCCAAGTGAAGCCAGCCATGGGGGCCTTTGACATATACTCATATAGATGGAACTTGTAAAAGAAAGGACTAAGGAGCAAGGGGACTCCCAACCCCATGTGACCCCTGAGGATGAGATCCTCAATGAAACTTAAGTGTAAAAATAACTTGGTTTATTTGGGCCAACCTCATAGTCATAAATACCCCAAAGGAAAGTATAACTAAAGAGTTAAATGATTGATATATTTCTTTAGGAGTCCAAATGATTGAACATCCCAGACATTAGACTTAAGTTCATATAAGATGCTATTTAGATACTTTCTCACTAATGATTTGTTCTTATTAAGAAAATTCTGCTCAGGTGTCAGACTTCAAATCCTGGTCTTATCAACTCTGAAGTCCCTACCTACGACCAAATAAACCAAGTTAT